TCACAGCCAATATCAATGCCGCTACGTCGATTGCCTCGTCCAGTCTATCGCATCTGACACTGGTTCATGCCTTCAATGCCAACGACCGCTTGGAGCAGCGATTTGCCACTTATCTCTCCAGGTCATCAATGGATGCCCTCAAAAAGGCAGGTACGCATGCTACGCAACTTGGGTTTTTGTACTTTGTTGCATATTCAGCCAACGCCTTGGCTTTCTGGGAAGGTTCCCAGATGATCTCGAACTCCGTTGCCCACGACAACTCAGGTATATCTGTGGGTGCTGTATACACAGTCATTTTCGTTCTCATCGATGCTTCCTTTATTCTGAGTCAGGTCGCCCCCTTCATCCATGTTTTTGCGTCAGCAGCCGGTGCCTCGGAGCGACTTCTAGCCGTGATAAATCGTCGTTCTGCCATTGATGGGACCGCAGACGACGGTGATAAGATGACTGCCTTCGGAAAGGAGAACATTGAGTTTAAAGATGTTCATTTTTCATACCCGGCTCGACCAGACGTTCCAGTACTCCGGGGAATGAGTTTTGTCATCCCCCCTAGGAAGCATACCGCCATTGTTGGACCCTCTGGTGGTGGAAAGTCAACCGTGGTTTCTCTCCTAGAACGATTCTATGACCCTGCATCAGGCGATGTGACCATTGGAGGGAAGAGTTTCCGAGATCTCAATGTTCGACACTTGCGAGGCAATATCGGTTTTGTTCAACAAGAACCGGCTTTGTTGGATCGAACAATCCTGGAAAATATCGCGTACGGCCTGGTGGCTTCATCCGCAGAGAAGCATCAACGGCTCGCCCCGTTCATTCTCGATGAAAGTCTTTCGGAACTTGCTGTAAAGATCAGGGAAGGCATGTCCGAGAACGATGCTCTTACCGGCTTCGACGGTTGTGTTGCCAAGATTGTAGAACTCGTCAGGGAGGCTGCCGCCAGCGCTAATGCGTTAAACTTCATCGATGCTTTGCCTCACGGGTTCGCAACCCATGTTGGAACAGCAGGAAATCAGCTTAGTGGAGGCCAGAAGCAGCGAATTGCTCTTGCTCGTGCTCTCGTGCGAGAACCGTGCTTACTCATTCTCGACGAGGCTACGGCTGCCTTGGATTCCACCAGCGAACAACTTATCCAGGCTGCACTGGCCAAAGTATCTGAAACAGTAACCACAGTCTCGATCGCACATCGACTAGCTACTGCCAAAAATGCACACAAGATTGTTGTCGTACAGACTGGACGTGTCGCAGAGGAAGGATCCCACGCGGAGCTCGTGGCGCAGGGCGGCGTGTACGCAGAAATGGTACGGCTGCAAAACCTGGGTAAATTGAGCGTTGAAGATTTAAGGAGCCCTCACGATATGATCACCACGAACAGTATTCACGAGAGTGTGCAGCCGACAGACGAAAAGGAAGCCTTGGTAGGCATTGGGGGTTCAGACATCACTGAAGACACGGTGTGCGGTGAGGTACCTCCTGGTTCCACAGATGGTGATGGGAGCAAAGGAAAGAAGAGGAAGCGTTCGGGCTGGTTCACCATCAAGTACACGTTCTCTCTGGTGCGGGCCAACCTGCCGTTGATTTGCCTCGGGCTCTGTATGTCCGTCATCATTGGAGGTAGCTACTCGGCCGAGGCGATTGTGTTTGGCCACACCGTTGGCAGTCTAAGCCCATGCAGATCTTCTGATGCCATCAGTGATAGTGGCAACCTTTATGGGTTGCTCTTTTTCATCCTTGCCCTGGTCGAGCTTACGGCAAATGTGGTGGGCGGCTGCGCCTTTGGCTGGGCAGCGGATAAGATTCTGTATCGGCTCCGGGTGCTGTCGCTACGATCGCTGCTTAGCCAGACCATACAATGGCATGGTATGGAGGACCGGACTCCAGGAACTTTGATCACTTATATCACCGGGGATGCTGCTTCTTTGAGTGGCATTACCGGATCGACTATCGGTCTCCTCCTTGCTACAGCCGTCAACCTGGTAGCCGGGTTGGTGATATCGTTTGCTATCGCGTGGAAAATCACTATTGTCTTGTTTCCGACCATACCAGTCCTACTTATAGCGGGCATGATGAAGCTCCGCGTTCAAGCCAAGTTCACTGAGCGGCATCAGAAGGCATTTGCCAAGGCCACGGCCATCACAGTCGAGGCCGTCGATAACATTCGTGCTGTTGCAGCATTCTCCCTTGAGAAGCAATCTCAGGAAGTGTTCGTCCGAGCCCTGCGCCGCCCATACCGGGACACCATGAAAGCTATTGCACATGGCAATGCCTGGTTGGCATTGGCGTTTAGCATCAGCAACTTGGTGTATGCCCTCGCGTATTGGTGGGGATCGAAGCAGGTGGCATCGGGGCTCTACTCCCAAACTCAGTTCTTCATTGTCCTGCCTTGCCTGCTATTCAGTACGCAGTCTTGTGGTCAAATGTTTGCTCTGGCACCGGATATCTCCAAGGCCCGTCTGGCGTCGTCTAACATTGTTGATCTGCTCACTACCCGCTCCGCGGAGGAGGAGCTGGCTCCGGGTTCCACGCAGAGCATGCAGCCCTCAAGCAGTTTGCTTGAGGAGAAAGCCGCAGCACAGGATGTGGAGGCCGCAGAGAAGCCCCGTCGGGGTGTACGTCAGACGAATGGCAACGGTATCGGCGCCCAGCTTCGTGGGGTGCATTTCACGTATCCCAATCGGCCTGAACGTCCAATTCTAAAAGGACTTAGCCTGGACATCAAGCCCGGTCAGTTCTGTGCGCTGGTCGGACCTAGCGGATCGGGCAAATCGACGACCTTTGCCATGCTGGAGCGATTCTACCGTCCTGCAGCCGGGTCGGTGATCATCGACGGAGTAGACGTGACTCGGCAGCTAGGCACTGAGTTCCGGGATGATATCGCCTTGGTGCCTCAGGAGAATGTTCTGTTCGAAGGAACGGTCGCATTCAATATTGGTCTGGGTGCTTGCCCCGGCCATGAACCGACCCAAGAAGAGATCGAAGCGGCGTGTCGCATGGCGCACATCCACGACGTGATTATGGCCCTGCCGGACGGGTACCAGACGATGTGCAGCCACGACGGCAAGCAATTTTCAGGCGGGCAGCGCCAGCGCCTGTCAATTGCACGCGCGCTGGTGCGCAAGCCACGGCTGCTGCTGCTGGACGAGTCGACGAGCGCACTGGATGTGGAGTCGGAGAAGAAGATCCAAGAAGCCCTGACGACGCTAGCGGGCCGCACGACGATTGTCGCGATCGCGCATCGACTGAACACGATCCACCGAGCGGATCAGATCTATCTGATTGAGGAGGGCCGCTGTGCGGAACAAGGAACCCATCAGGAGCTGATCCAGCGCAGTGAGACGTATCGAACGAGTGTGATCCACCAGTCGCTGGAGACCTAATGAAGATGGGCAACTGAAACACGGCACCGCTGTACCAAAAAGCACACGGAAAGAACCAAAAGCACCCCTTCATAATTTAGAATGATGGTGCTGGGTCATCTATGACAAGCCTTCCGTCTTTTTTGAGGGTGGGACTTGACTGCATCTTGCGATATGGGATTCTCCTCTCTCCACGCGACTCACATAGTAGCATCTGATGAAAGCATTGATTGATTTGGGATACTGGCGCAATCTCACCCGGGTACTGGCATTAGAGTTCGTATTGTGTTTGAAGGGCGTTTTTTTTTGGAAATGATTGGATAGTGTACATAGAAGCTTTAATTTACTGGACGTATAAGTATCTGCTGGCTTTTGTATAGAACTTCCGAGTCGGTGGCTGCCTGAGGCGTTGAGAACTGACGGGTACCGTATCAGCCATACCATCAATACTATAGATACCGGCGGAAACACAGCCCAGATTCTGCCAGATTGGGAAGGTGGCCAGTATCGTATTCGGAAAGCCTCGTATCGCGGGTGTCTCATCCAAGGAGGCCATAACTAATGAAAACGAGTGGATTCACTTGGAATGAATGGGGGGGTGATTCACTTTCCCTCCAAAAAGTGTTATTGTTCCAGACAATAGAGCTCTGACCACAATCATCCTCGCTAATATCATGGCGGGAGAAGGAAGTAAGAATAGGATAGGATGATGGGGTTCCGCGCGGCGAGTCTATCTGAAACAACGCTCCCCGTTTGGTGTGTTTCATTTCGGCCTCAAACTCTCTTTCGTCTCGATCTCTCACTCAACCTCTTTTACTCTACTTCCACCCTCCTCTTCCTCCCCCTGCTCGATTATCTGCCCCGTTGACTGGCTCTCATTCTTCCTTCCTCTTGTTTCCGTTATTTCTTTTCCTTTTGGTCTGACGTGGTGCGTGGTGGTTGTAGTAGGTTATTGTTGCTTTCCGTCCGCGGCCAGGTAGTTGGTTAGTGATAGTCCTTCCTCCCTCCCTCCCCCCCGTCTTTTTGCCCCTGGTCGGCATTGCTGCTGGTCTGGTCCGGCGGCCTATTTCGCGCTGCTCATCAACCAAATTCCCAGCAGCTGCTACTATTATTTGCTCTCCCTGTCTTTTCCCACTTCCACCCCCCCCCTCTCTCCCCTCCCCCCTTCCCCCTCCTCCACCATGTTGACCCTGGTCGATCTGCGACTAACCCTGTTATTAATCTAATTACTCTACTCACTAGACTCGTTCGTCATTCTATCATTCTCTTGCTCTCTGTTGGTGGTGGGAGTTAATTGCATTTTCCATTCTGCGCGCGGACTCGTGTCCTCCCTCCCGCATATCCCCCCCGGCACTACAGCCCTTGTACACACCCCCCGTCCTGACAAGCCCCCCGTTTCGCATTTCCCTCGCTGTATGATATTCTAGCGATATTTCTACTCGTCGAACAAGACCGGCATTCACGCCTTCACTTTGAATTCGTCGCATGCGTAACGGAACATCGAGAACTCCTGAACGACTTGGAAGAAAACACTCTGACCTTAGCATCGCGGGCGCATCCCCGGATTCACGTTATCGTTGACCTCCTCGATCGACTCGCCGTGCCTAGCTTGTTTGTCTCGGTCGCTACTAGAGCGAGGAGTACAGGATGGAGTCCCCCGCGTACCCAGAATCGCCGATGGACCAGGATGATATCCCGTATCCTTGCAAGGGTTGTGGAGAGGTATGCAGGAGGCTCTGACTGGAGTAACAATGTTTATCGCATGCTAACCTAGCTTTCTTCGCGAACAGATTCTAGAAGAGGGCAAAGCTTTCGAACTTGGTAGGTTTGCATTGAGTCCTCTTGACCCCTGTTTTGACAAGTGGCTGACCGCTCCTTTCTTGACTCCCCGTGTAGCGGGCAATCGATGGCACATTGAATGTTTTTGCTGCAGCACCTGCGGTACCCTTCTCGATTCCGACGCACACCTGCTACTCTTGGGGGATGGTTCGTTGATCTGCAGCAACTGCACGTACAGCTGCAGTTCGTGTGGGAACAAGATCGAAGATCTCGCCATCTTGACCGGCGAGCAGGCTTTCTGCGCACAATGCTTTCGATGCCGGAACTGCAAAAGGAAGATCGAAAACCTGCGCTATGCTCGAACCTCGCAGGGTATATTTTGTATGGACTGCCATGAATCCCTCATGCAGCGTCGAAGAAAGAGGAATCGGAATGTAGCACCGTCGAGGAAGCAGACGCCGGCGAACATGAAGCTAGACAAATCACTCCCTTCCTTGCCCTCGGAGGACCCCGAACCGATGCCTCGTGGCTCCGACGAGGCAGCTGCCGATGCGTATTCAGATGCAAACCCCGATACCACGTTGCGAGGAGCTGCGCCTGCGCTGGACGCAGGAAGGGGCAGAAGCGCTTCTGCTACCGGTGCGGCTGCAGATAATCAAGGTAGGATACTCTGTGGTTTGTGAAAATTGTGGTGTCTGAGGGACTAACTCGTAAAAATTCTATAGACAACCTAATTCTCCCTTCGAGCACCTACCGAAGCAATCGACACTCAGTCATACCTCAACCGGAGGCAGATGGCGGTGGTGAATTCTTGATCCCTGTTGCGTTCGACCCCTCCGAAGAACAGCGGTCTGCGCGCGGACAGTTACCTGCCACAACGTACGGAAAATCGCCTCATGGGTCGGAAAGCTCATCTCCGCATATTGCGTACCAGGAAAAGGGCCGGGACCGCGGTGATCTTGACGCGGCACGTTGGCGTCAGGATGACCTCGCCAACGGCACAAACACCGCCAGATCGGCTTCCGCTCGCAGTTCCAGGTCTGACCTGGGTCGTAAAGAGACCAGCACTTTCTCCACTCCCAGCCCCGAAAGCACTAAATCGGCAACCGTCCAAAGAGAGGGTTTGGCCCCAGAGCTTCAGAGAACTGCCAGTGACAATACCACCACACTTCCGACTCGGCCTTCGCATGAGCTGCGTCGCTTGCATGAGACGACAGGATCGGTAGACTCTGCCCAGTCGTTCTTGTCCTCCACGAGCGTGCAGCATCCAAAACGGGCCGATTCCCTGGAGAGCAGGCTGCATCAGCCATCGAGGAAAGAGCCCGGAACGTCTCCTCGCCCGTCCTCTGTTACCCCCAGCGACCAGTGGAGCGAGCGATCCACTGACAGGACCGGTGTGAGCAGGAGTACACCTCGGACTGGCGACTCCACGTGGACCCCACGCAGTGAATTGAACGATCCGGCTAAGCCCCCCGCGCGTCCCAACTCTATCAGCACTCTTCAACAGGTAGAATCCTACCGCCAAACCGACGGTGCGGGTTCTCCCTCGTTGCTGCGGTACAGCGGCGGCGGTGACTTCACCATGGACGAAGATATGGCCCGTATCATGGGCTCGGACGATGGCAACAATGCACAGACGAGTGAGTCTTTCCTACGACGCGTTTCGAACTCTGTTCGCCATGGCCGCAGCTACAGCGATAAAGGTTCTCGCCTATCAAGGGACGCCAAATGGCCGAAGTCGCCTATTAACGGATCTGCAGCGATACCCGACCTGGCGAGCCCGTCTGTGATTTCTCCTGAGAATGCAGGACCCGAGGAAGTGACATGGCTGCGTAATGAGCTGCGCAAGGAACGGCAACGCGTGTCCGATCGGGAACAGAAGATCGCCGAGATGGAGGCGATGCTGAATGCAAGTGCCGATGTCAAGCAGGTTAACACTGAACTTCACGAGAAGCGCTCTACGATGGTGGTCTTGGATGCACAGAAGGAGATTGCCATGCGTGAACTCACCGTGCTGACCGAGCACCTTGAGGCTGAGAAACGTGGCAACGGTGGCTCCCTCGATCTTGGGAAGCTGACCAACCATGTCCTGCGGGAATTTGTGGAATCGATACAGAAGCTGAAGGATACCTTTACGCCACAGATCGAAGAACTGGTGCAGAAACGTAACGATGCTGCGGAGGAATTGGCCAACCTGAACCGTATGAAGGACAAGAGCTTCCAGGAATTCGAGCAGTTGTCCTCCAAGAACGCTCAACTGGCAGAGCTGAACAACCAGCTGGTGCATCAGATCCAAGAGCTCTATAAGGCCAACCCGACGGACGGTCGTGGGGCTAACGGTCTTGGTATCTACTCTCATGGCAAGGAGAAGTCCCTCTCCGCTATTGATGCTCTCAAGGCGGCCAACAGTGATCTGGTTCCTACAGTAGCAACGACAAACATCTCAGAAGAGGCTGAACCAGCTACAATCGTTCCCGGACCTCAAGTGGTTAGCATCAGAAAGGGACAGCCTCGCAAGTTCAACTGGAAAAAGGGCGGTCAAAACGTCGCCAAGGGTGTCACCAAGGGTCTCAAGGGTGCCTTCATGTCGAGCGAAGCGACACCCGCTGAGGGTAACCCGGGTCTGCCACGCTCCCAGACGCAGGATCCAAGTCGCCCCGGATTTGGCTTCTTCGGCAACCAGCGGAGCAAACAAACAGGACTACGGATGCCGCAAACTGACAGTGTCCCTGCTCTGGCTGAAACCCCTGCTCCTGGTGGTAAGTATCTCGCTACTTTTGTTCCACTTGCATACAAGCAGATAACTAATATAGATCAGCAGGCCTCTTCGGTACAGATCTGGAACAACGCATGGAGCAGGAGAAGAGCATCATCCCTGCCATCATTACTCGCTGTATTCAGGAGGTCGAACTACGAGGTATGTGGTGTCAGTTACGGACGTGCGCTAGAAATGCTAACTGTCCACCTAGGTATGGATATGGAAGGTATCTACCGGAAGTCTGGCGCCAGCTCTGCAATTCAGACTATTCGGGAAGGCTTCGAGCGCTCTCCACAGGATTACGATATTTCCGATCCTGACCTCGATATTCATGCTGTGACCTCTGCATTGAAGCAGTACTTCCGCAAGCTGCCCATGCCGCTCATCACCTTTGACGTCTATGAGAAGATCATCGATTCGGGCGAGATCACTTCTCAGCCCGCCCGGGTCGAACATCTACAGAAGAATCTGCGCGAGCTGCCGCGCGTTCACCAGGATGTGCTCGAGTTCCTCGTGTTCCACTTGAAGCGCGTGGTCGAGCGCGAGAAGGAGAACCTGATGACCAGCCAGAACATCGCCGTGGTGTTTGCGCCAACCATCATGCGGCCCGAGAGTCTCGCACGTGAAATGACTGATGTGCAGAAGAAGAATGAGGTCTTGAAATTCTTGGTTGAGAACTGTCAGGAAATCTTCATGGGTTTGCAGGGTTAGAACGCTATCAGTTTCGTTTTTGATTGAACCATCGGCCTGGTCTGGAGGGGCGCGAGGATGCAAACGGTACATTTCCCATTTTCTTTTGCTTCTCGAATCGTTCTTCCCACTTTTGGCTATTGGAGTGACATGCACCCCATTCCCATTTTCCTTTCTTCATTAGAATACCCCGAACCCTGTCAGTACGACAGTTGTACATATATCACGGCGGCACGGATGTCTTGGTCTTTTGATTCTCCCTCCCCCCCTTCATTCACCCATCCTCTTTCAATACATCATGCCTCATCAAACCTTCAAAAGCCCTGCCACCATCATTCTCGAATGATATATCTGATCAGCGCCTTGCCTCCCCGTCGATACCCTTATGTGTCTCAGTTTTCATTTTCCTTCCCAAATCCTCTTCCCCCCCTCTCTTTGAATTTACCCCATGTAATCTGTCTCATTTCCTCTCTCTCTCCGCTTGCTTGCTTGATTTATCCCGCAGGTTCGAAGCTAGTTCTTAGTCCATGGTGATGTGATATTGCTCTCTCTCCTGATGCAGTCGATCTGTCTCTCGTATCCTGCTGTACGCTGTGCGGGGACCACAGTCTGGTATGTATATGCCTGACCAGGGTCTTCCTTCAGTGTCTCTCTTTACCATTCCCCCCTCGGTTTATATCCATTCTCATAAACTCATTTGCCTTTGGATTGTGGTATGTTTGTTAGGCGATTCCTGAAGTTATCGATGAGATCGAGAGTGAGCGTTGGCGTCTTGTCGTTAGGGACGTGAGTGTGTGATTAGTTAGCTGATTTGTTGCTGTTGCTGCTTGATTGATAGATAGATCGAGTTATGGAGTTGTAGTAGTATTTGATTGATTGTGCTTTAGTTGCTTGTCTACTAGTTGTATATAAGTTGTTGTAGGAGTTGCAGTCGTTTACCGCGTGTGTATTTTGTAGGGTGTATGATGTCTAGCGTGTTTATATTACGGTGATTTAGATACAACATGTGAAGGAGGGAGAAATATTGTATTATATTTGAGTAGCGGCTATCTAGAATGTCTCATCTTCCAGTCGCTCCACTCGTTGGATGATACTCGGACTTTGTTCCATTGGCAGGTCGTCTGTTGTGTCGTTGGCTCCGGCGGTGAAGAGTAGGTCTTCCACGATGCGTTTCGATGCTTCCTTGGCTGTTGTAGCATACTCTGGTTAGCGTGTACTGCATGTATGAAAGGGCAAACCAAGTAAGATAGACAGGGGCAGGGGAGCAAGTAGACTAACCAGGCGTCTTCATCAACCGACTCTGCGGAATGTGAAACTGCATCGTCTTAGGCGGACTCGGACCCAAGTCTTCATCCCCGTCATCAAAGTCATCATCACTGTCCCAAGCCGATCGTCTCGCACCGCCGCCGCCACCGCCGCGCGCAGGAGTCAGCACGCTTATCCCGGGCTTCGGGGTAATCCGCAGCCGATTCGCACTAGGTCTTCTCTTGCGGCCCGTATTCGGCGTTTCCACGCCCTTCATAGGAGACGAGAAGATCTCCGCATGCAATTTCGGGGCTTCCGGCTCCGGACTGGAAATTGGAGAGTCATCGTACGCGTACTTCTTGCTATTGTTTGTTGTCTTTGGTGTAACGGTAAACTTGGACCGGGACTCGTATCCGTATCCCTTTCCGAGAGGGGTGGCTTGTACGCGGTAGGTTTTGTCGGCCATCTGGTGCATGATTGGGTCTTCGGCGGGAGGGATGAATGGTGAGGAGGACATCGGGGTATGAGATTGGTTGTGGGAGTAGTCGTCGGTGTAGTGATGGGTTCTGGCGGAGGAGTATTTGGCTGGGGTGGTGGGGAGGTAGGGGTCGTTTTCGTCGTCATCATCGTCGCGGAAGCGGGTATCTGGGGTTGGGTGCGCGATGGATGAGGTGTCGTCGTCATGGGCAGCGTAGCGGTTGTCGTGGCCGGCGACACGAGGGGTGCTGTGGGAGGAGAGGCTGAGGGAAGTGAGCTCGATGTCGTCGGCTCGGTGGAGTTGGCTGTCGTCTTCGCCGGCTGTTTCGGTAACGGTTTGGTCTTCTTCGGCCGTCAGGTTGGTCGGTTCTTGGACGGTGGTTTCTCCTTCGGGTTTCTCCTCGTAACCCGAGAGGGAGACATTGGCGCTGGCTTCGAAAAATTGTTTCCAGAACTGGTAGGAAGTTAGAGTGCCTGCAGGGGTCGTTGTTGGGGAACATGGGTAGGTGATGTACCTTTGCGCCATCCCAGACGTCGCGGGAGCTTTCTGCGTATTGCTCGACCAGAGGGAGAATGTTGGTTGTGACGATGCGGTGGGCTTGGCTAAAGTTGTGGTCGATCTCTGGTGAGGACTAAAGTTAGAGATGTATGCAGGAGCTATAACAAGTGATGTTGTTACCTTGAAGGGTCAGGGTGATTGACTGCTCGAGCTTCTCGAGCTCCTCTGTAAGCGTGAGGGGGCGCTGCGCCATGGAGGATGGGCGAGACATCATAACTGTCTAGTGTGTAGCGAATTGAATGTCGTTATCGACTGCACAGGTGTGCAAAGGCAATGCGAAAGTTGAAGGTGTTGATGTTGATGTTGATGTTTTGATCGGGCGGAGGGGAAACGCGGGATGCCGGATCGGGTTGCAAGGTAGGGCAGCCGGATAAGGGCTGAGGCGGGTCACATGTGGCGGGCGGCGGGGAAAATGAACCCGGGTATCCGCCTGATCAAGCTGGAGGTGACGCCGACACTCACCTTACTACCGCTGCCTGCTGCTGTTCACCCAGATTTGTTTTGGACGCGACTGAGGGTGTTTCGCCATGCCTACGCCGGTTGCCAAAGGTATGCTTGCTTTAAAGGGTCATTTCATTGTTTTCTTAATGCTTAAACAGCCCTGCTTCTGTTGTATTACCCGGGCGGTGTGCTTATCAGGGAAATGATCATGATCTATGAGCTGCTCGAGCCCGGCTCGATCCGCATCGTCTGTGCGATGATTTCATTGTAGTTTCTTTCTTTTCACATGTGAAAGGGCTATTCTACGCAAGTGCTTTCAACTCGGAAGCGGTGGTACTGACCTTTCAGGCATTATAATCACCGTGTCGGCGCTTGTCGCTGCAGGTATCGCGGTTTACGAATCGCCCCAGTTCCGACAATGGGTCAATACCTCACGACGGAAGATCGCCCTGGCGCTCCACCATCTAGGCGATGAGATCCATCCACAAGACGCAGCCGCTCTAAGGCAGGATATCTCGATGACGGAAGAGGTGGGCGCTGCGGCTGAGGAGCGACGGCGGTTAGCGGTGGAAGAGCTTCAGCGGCGACGCAGCGTGCTTGAAGCCCGTCGCAAGACCAGCAACGGAGCCCCTGCGAGCAGCTTTGACGCTCTGGTGGATGATAGTGGCCGGCTTTTGGATAGTCCAGAGCCTCCGGTGAATGATTCTATGGCGAACTCGACGGCGGTGGAAGTGACGACGTCGCAGCCTGTCCAACGCGGCAAACAGACTGGAACGTCAACTCCTATGGCTGAAATTGATGGTTCAAACAACATCGGGAGTCGCCTACAGATTGCAATTCCGTCCCCTGGCTCTCATACCCCGTCGCTCGTTGAGTTCACACCTACGTCGGAAGCACCGGAAAGGCTTGCGACCTCGTTCCATTCCCAGTTTGGTGAGGACGAACACTTTGTAGGATCGGATAGCTACCATCGTCCCGACACACCTGCATCTAGCCACACCGAAGATTTTTCTCAGGTTATCTATGCCCATCCGGAGGATCATGCTGTCAATGGCACTGGGCGGGACCTGAGATCTCCATTTTCAGACCTATCCGACCTACACTCCGAGGGTCATCACGTTGAGCGCCCATCTACACCGTCTACTGCCGGTAGCTTCAGCCAAATCTATGAGTCTGCAGTGGATGGGTCTGAAGGCACGCTAAGCGACTTTGAGCGCTCCGGTGCAGCTACTCCGGCTAGCTGGTCCGAAATTGGCAGCGTTATTAGCAACGACGAGCAGCATCATCATTTGTAGGTATGGGATTGGTTGACTGATATTGAAGGAACTTTTGCTGGACGTATGATCATGGGTAGGCGATAGGGTGTTGAGTTTGCTTGGACTGGTTTTGCTTATTCGGGCGCAATGTGGCACTGGCCACCTGTACATATATTGCTTTTTGTTAGAAACACGGTAGCTTTTATCTATTGGGATTAAGATGTAACGGTGATCATCGTCGCCGAGGTTGGGGCACATCGGAGATACTTCCCACTCCTCATAAAATGGCCGAGAGGCAAAGTACTGTTAGTGCTGATCGGCCGTCCCAGAGGGGAAAGAACCTCGGCTGTTCGGCTGGATTGGAGAACCACCGCATTTGCTCCCTTCATTATATCATCCTCCTCTCCCCTCTTCTGCTCCGCTTTCTTCTTATCCTTCTTGATCTTTTAGCATTATCTCTCTTCTCACAGGTACGTATATACTCATCGACTTGTTGAACAGCCGCACCTTGCTCTGGAATACCAGTTTGCGCCTGACAGACTCATCTCCGCTTTCATGCTATCAGCTCCCCCCAAACCAATCCACCTTCCAGAAACTGACCCCTGAATCTTTCAACAGCTACACAGAACACCATGGCAGCAGATCGTCTAAACTCTATCCTCAGTCACCTGAAGCCATCGGGTAACAGCGGACTCGCCGCAATGTAAGCACCAGACCGTTTCCGGCAAACAAACACCACTAATCAGCACCTCAGTACCCAAAAGAACCCAGACGATGTGGTCATCACCCTCGCGCTGCGCACACCCCTCGCAAAGGCCGTCAAGGGTGGATTCAAGGACACAGAACTGGATTATATCCTCTATGCACTGTTGAAGGAAGTGCTCTCTAAATCTAAGATCGACCCCGCTCTGGTTGAGGACGTGTGTCTGGGAAATGTGAGCGCCAAATTAACCTCTCTATGGAAACCGGATTGCTAACTCTCATACTATTCATCCAGGTCGGCGACGGCAAAGCAGCCTACCTCGTCCGCGCAGCCTCCCTCG